TATTATTATGCAAATAGATACTCGTTTTTCGAATTTTGAAGATTTGCAAATTTTTGACCTCTTTGACGATTCAAAATTTAAAAGTTACGCCAAAGAATTTCCAAGATATTTATTAGACAGGTTAATTAAAAATTATCCATCATTCTTTAATAAAATAAAATTAGAAAATGAATTAAAAGTTTTATATGCTGATCCAAATATTTTCGGAAGATGGGATAAGTTACAAGATATGTATAATTTTATATACTGCAATTTATTACAACAAACTGTTACCGAAATTAATAAATTATTGTCATTAATTCTCTCATTACCACCAACGTCTGCCTCAAATGAACGAGATTTCTCTTGCCTCAAAAGAATCAAAACTTATTGTCGAAATACCATGAAACAAGAGAGAATGTCAAGCTTGTCTCAAATGTCAATAGAAAAAAAAACTTTTAAAATCTCTCCAAAACTCTAATAAATTTTACGATGACGTTATTACCCATTTTGCTACTTCCAAACAACGTAGACTAGAGTTAATTTATAAACATGTTTAGGTTCTAAATTTATAGGAAAAAAAAAACAAAAAAAAACAAAAAACAAGAAAACAAAAAATCTCCTATGATGATTGAAGTCTTTATTAGACGGTATACCTATCTGAGGAGACAAAAAATACCTTGCCGACCTTATCTCTCAAGCCACGAGCCGCCACTGCGATATTATCAGCGAATGTGAGAATTTGTGTTGATATATTAAAGATGTCTCCGTTCAATCCAATATTTATCTGTCTGACCGCCTTTATATATATACATTCGGTTTTATAACGTCTTACGACGTTGTCCGACTCCCAACCGCCACTGTATTCGGTCTTGAGTTAGGTCTTCGTCCAGATTTCGAGCGCTAATCGCTTTCCTAACTCCCAGGTTCCAGCTCTGTGGTGGTCTTCCTCGTTTCCTCTTCTCTGGGGGTTGCCACATCATCGTTTTTTTAGGCAATCTTTCGTCCCCCATTCGGCTCACATGTCCATACCATATGAGCTGTTTTCTCTCTCAATATCCTCAACTATAGTGCCCTCTATACCCATTTGTTGTTTTATTACTTCATTCCGTAATGACCTACTGCCCGCCTTTTCCGTGGTAATATTAAAGTCTTACACCATTATTAATATTAAAGGATGTAGAGTTGTATCATTGAATTCTAACGTACGAACTTACGTTTTGCATTGTTAGTTTTGTCAATTTATCCAACTTAGCCAAAAGTCCACCATTGCTTTATATAGTAGTAATTATAGTGAAATAATAAAACTAAACCTAGGATATAAGGTTTTAATCAACATAAATTGTAAAGTTTGTTTAGCAGTAAATGGTTGACTTCAATTTGTACCGAATATAAACATCCTGGGTTAACCGATAATAGTATAAAAGATCCGGTTTCAGGTAACAATGGTTTACCTGAGGTACAAGGTCTTAACAATGGGTCAAGTCAGATAAATTTAATAATATTTACGACAGCACTAATTTAAGTCAACCATTTTCTGCTAAACAAACTTTTAAACATAAAAACAATAGAAATTAATATGGCAGTGACAGCGACTTCTGTCAAACACTGACACCATAAAGTTGCCTACAAAATTCAAAGTCTACAGCCAAAGCAATACCAAGGAGGTTAATATCACATCATATAGTATCTCTACTATAATTATAGTATGGTTTCTAACCTTGGGTCAGTTTTATTTTGTTAATCTAGATATATTACTAACTTTCACTAATTGTGTTGATTGTGAAATTTAATTAACTAACATTAGATTATATTTTTCAGGTGATATATTTAAAGACAAAGAGTCTTTTATAACACCATCGTATAAGAAGAAATTGGAAGAAATGAGGGAACTAGAGGAGCAAGAAAAAAGGGAAGAATACTTAGAAAGTATTGGAGATGTAAAAAAGCAAGGCAATTTGGATGGTTTTTATAGGCATCTGTATGATCAAAAGGTAAACTTTGAGAAGAAAGAAACAGCAACCACTATTAAAAAAGAGATGTCTGATGATGACACTAATAAGCCATCAACAAGTGAAATCAAGAATACAACTAACGAAAATGAAAACAGTGACGACATGCTTAAACATAAGTCAAAAAAGAGAAAATACAGAGTGAGGAAAGATTCAGACGAAAGCAGTGAAACTGAAGAACAACCCGAAATAAAAAAAGAACACTTACCCTCAAATATAGACGCTGATTCCGATTTTAGCATTAATTCTTCTGACAGTGAAGATGAAAAAGAAACTAAAGTAAAATCAGAAGAGAATAATGAAATTGTAACTCAAACCCTACCAGGCAAAAGCAGTGACAATAAAACAGAAACTAAAGTAGAAAAGAAGCCTGATGAAATTAAAAAAATAGATAACAAGGATGAGAATGAGATTAAAGTTCCACCCAAGCCAAAAATTGATATATGGAAGAAGAGAACAGTAGGCGAAAAGTTTGATGAGGCAGTTAAAAAATATTTTGAACGAAAAGCATTACGAGAAATGGGAAGGTGAAACTGATTTATAGAGTATATAAAATGTATTAAATGTATATAGATTATTTAAGCTTTTTGTATTCTGATTTAATTTAATAAATAAATACATTATTAATTTTACAATATATCTTATATTCTGTAAATGTTTACTAGCAATTTCGGTGTTACATTAACCCATTAGCGCCTACATATGGACCCAGCTGTAAGGGTATTGTTTAACACAATAAAATTATAATAAAACAGGCAGCCAACATTACATTTACCGCATGTATACTTTATTTAGACTTGTCTGAACCTGCGTTGATGAATACTCATCAGTGTTTTATTAGATTTCACAAGCTAAGGAAGTTAGAAAATCATGTTATAATAAAAAGTGTTTGATAATGGACATCCGATTTATGTAAGTAAATTTTCAGTACCTTTGTTTTGGGAATACTAGGAACAAATCAATTTTACTTATTTTAAAAGATCTTAAAATATAACGTAGTGTGCATATTTTTCTATCCAAATTACAAGGGACAGTTAAAAATTCATGTAAATATTGCTGTACCCATATGGACCCACTAGGCTTATGTAAAAGCCTAATGTAGGCCATTAGGTACATATCTAATGTTAATCTGTATTGTGTTAAGTAAATAACTGTTTATTAAGTAGTAATCAATGTCTTTACAAAGAATCACTTATTACAAACGACTGTGATACCTTGGGTGAATACTGTTCTGACAAAGAAGACTTTTGTTAAGTGAAAATTCCCATGCCGGCTGTGGATTCGAACTCAGGACCACTGACTTTTTAGGCTCAGTAAGTTGGTGCTCTTACCATTACGCCACTAGTGCGCTTGAACTGTTGTTTACTCCAGTAACTTACCACATTCCCTGTATTTGTAGTGTAATGAACAATGTACCAGCAATTCGTAATGTAAATACTGACTTAAATCAACACAAAAGCAACATACCTTCACTCAAAACAGCCCTAAAAGTTTATTCTAATAAACACAGGTAATTCATAAAACATCACACTACTATCCACAGATGTTCAGAAAGGTTTTCAGTGCATCCAAAAACAAATGATTGTCTGTGGCACTTGAAGGCTTATAGACAGATTACCTTTGATAATGTCTGCCACAGTTGTAGATGAGACTGAGATGAGAAAAATAGTTCCAGACCACAGCCTATATGCCTAAATATAGGTTATTCCACGAATATACGACTGTTTGGAATTATTGCTACAACGAATATTTTACTGTACAAGTAAAAGTATGAAAGTAAATTGGTCTAAATATTATTCCATAAAAAAAAAGGATCATCTGTTACTATTAGGTACATATAAACTAAAATTATTTTAGTTAGTAGATATTCAGATATACGCAAAATTTATTCTAAAAATTAATCCGAAAATAACAAAAAAATTTACGTAAACGCCCCTACAAATAAATACAATGACCTCTATGAAGTTAAAATGTGTTCATCAGCCATTTGGGTTGGATTTCGGTGAAATGTAAACACCAAAGAGGCGCGCCGGGTATCTTTATTACTTTATTAGGCAACGGTAATAAAAAGAAATATAATATTTTTAATATAAATAAAAAGAAATTGGCAGAACGATGGTTCAGAAACCAGGAAAAGAATCTAGTGTTCCACTTTGTTAGTTTTTTGTTTGCTTTGAGTGGATATACTCTTAAAAGTTCCGAAAGTAACGGGTATAACATGGCGGCTATTGATAGTTAAAGTACCGAGTCATTACAGATATTAAAAAGTAACGAAAATTTACATACAGTTTCATAAATCACCGACCGATTTTAGTTTTAAAAACAGTCCGTAAAGAGGTGTCCGGTGAAGAGACGTGTCCGATAAGAGAGAGTTTAGTGTAGTGTATTTGTTTGTAATGGTGATTAGGAAAATAAGAGTAAGTTTTTTTGTTTTTTTAATACTAATTGAATATTCGACTAAATAAATTAAACTATTTAATCACTTAAGTATTGTTACACTTCGTTTAAATCACTTAATTCAAAAACCAACTTGTTTACAATACTAAAGTCAATGAGAGTAATTATACGAGTATACTTCAAAATCTGAATTACAACTATTCTATAAACTATCAATTCTATATTTAGATCATAGCTTCATATTTAAATCTAAGGTGTATATCTGTCATAACAGTATTTTAAAAATGGGGAGAATTTACCATTGTAGAATTCAGCACATTGGACCATTTAAGTCAACACCTTAAAGCGAATTTAAAACAGTTGTATATTCGTGGAATGGAGTATACAAAAAAATATACTGTTGCAAAAGTCTACACTCATTAATTGCATGAATAAATATTTTTTAAATACATATTTATCATGATACTTGGATAACATGTTTTAAGACTTTCCAAATATTCTGAAGACTCGGAAGCAATCATTTTTTGAGTTGTTTTTGTTTGGTACTGATAACAAGATTTTTTTTCTAAGAGGTAAATAATGAAGAAAAAGTAATAAAAATAAAGAAAGAGATAGTTTAACAAATTTTATTACATTTACACAGAACTAATGATTCTTAACTTAAAGAACGTGCCACAGTCTTCTTCCAATCATTATCTTTATGCCCAGGCTTGGTGTATTTCTTAACTTTAGCCTTCTTATGCGTTTGTCTCTTTGTAGGGGCCAATATATTTCGCTTTTGCATACTTTTAAATCTATCTATGAGTATGTTACCTTCTGTTTTTAAATCTTTTAAGTTACCTGCTATGTCCTGACCCATGTTAAACTCTAAATCAGGTTCTTCAAACTTGTTGGCATTCAAAACTGTGGGCTTTTTATTAAGATTCTTATTCTTTTTTCTAATTTCCCTCAATTTGTTCTGTTTTTCTTTAACAGAATCAATGTGCTTAACAACCTTTCGTAAGTTGTGAATATCTGTAACCTTTTTCTTTTCCAACTTGAGTGCTTTCCTTGCCTTCTCCAATTCTAAATGTTCTTTATGTTTTCGTTTTTGTTTTAATGTCTTTTTGACATTCTTTACAGGTGGATTTATTGATTTAAATTCTGTATCATTTCCTTCTTCAGTATTAGACTCAGTATTACTTTTACTTGGTAAACCTTCTGACATATCTATTAACCAATCTTGGTCTCGTTTAGACTCTGTTACTTTGCTGAACATTCCACTAGTAACTCTTCGTAAATGTTTCTCTTCCTTTATAAGTTTTTGTTCTTTTTCCGCTACCTGCAAAAGGTAAAAAAAAACGTTATAAGATACTACAGGTAAAATGACATTCAATATATATGTATGTATGTATATGAAAATTACCAAGTTCTCGTGAAGAACTGCATTAAGAATTTTAAACTATATCGAAGATTAAAATTATCGTTTTCATAGGCAGGTAAATAAATCTGCAAATGCTTTGGTTTTAGCTGAATATAAATCACTGAGACGAGAGGTGAAACAGCTTAGTCGGAAAGCAGTGGCTGTCAGAATGTTGCCAATGTTTTGGCAGAATACTTTGGCTCTGTATTTCAAAGATCAAGTAGTCTCAATAATACACTGAATCAGGGGAGTTTTTACTTTTCAAAAATAACAGTTGAGAATGTTCTCCAAAGCATTAAAAGACTAAAATTTAAAAAAGGAACAGGTAATGACAATATACCAACATATATTTTTAAATGTTGTGCAGAGACTCTTTCTGCCCCTCTCACACTAATTTTTAATTTGTCCCTTAAACAAATAAATTTCCAGATAGCTTAAAGCATGCAGTTATGTTGTACCACCTACATTTAAATCTACTAATGTTGGTAACATTGGGAACTGTAGGCCTATATCTGATATTCGAGAATGTGCTTTATAACAATATTTTGAATTACTTTGGAGATAGGTTCTGTCCAGAACAACATGTTTTTTACCAGGGAAGTCCACTGTGTCAAATTTGTGTGTTTTTATAAGTTTTGTAGCAGGGGCCATAAATAATAATACTCAGCTGGATGTCATTTTTACCGAATATACCAAAGCTTTTGATAAGATTGATCACTCTATACTTATTGAAAACCTAAGCAAATTTGATATTGATTCAGAAGCATGTATGTTTATGAGGTCAAATCTTTCTGATAGGTTAAATCAAGTTAAAGTGGGGAACAGTTAATCTAAGCCATTTATGTTGACATCAGGTGTACCACAAGATAGCAACTTGGGTCGTCTACTGTTCGCTATATTTATTAACAATTTCCTCACTGTGTGAAGTTTTCGACAAGACTGCTATTTGCAGATGATTTTAAGATTTTTCGAGAAATTTCAACTCTGCAGGACTTTGAGATGATGCAATGTGATCTGCTAAGTAAGTCAATGGTTTGATGATAACAAAATGTTTCTAAACACTTCTAAATATCATGTTTTTACTATCACTTGAAAACCACAATACATGGAGAACCAATACAAAATTTCTAGCACTGTACTTGGAAGAAAGAACACTTGCAAAGATCTTAGAGTAATGTTTCAGCAAAATTTGAGATTTAATGAACATTATCAGATCATCATTGGAACGGCATACAGAACTCTTGGGTTCACAATTCGTAATTCAAAATTTTTAAAAAGACTTGGAACTCTAATATCATTATACAATGCACTGGTAAGACTTCGCTTGAAGTATGCCTCTATTATATGGGCACCACAAACCAAATTCAATGTTTATCTGATTGAAAAGATTAAAAAACAATTCTTGAGGTTTCTTTATGTCAGAAAGTTTGGTATCTATCCATACATGATTTCCTATAATGCAGTATTAACATGTTTTAAAGTTCAGCAACTGGATAATAGAGGAAATTTTGATTCAGCCCTTTTTATTTACTATGTTGTAAATCACATTAAATATAGAGATTGCTTTTTTATAAATAATATTAAATTTAATGTTCCAAAAATACACCTAAGAATTAATAACAAACGACTGTTCTCAACTAATACTGATTGTTTACCCATAAATAAGATGTTAGAAGAATGTACTTAACCATGTGATAATTAACTGTGATATAGACTTTTTAAATTATTCTGTGAAACAAATAAAAGTTGCTTTTGAAAGAAATTTCTGTTTGTATTTTGAGAACGATTTCCGAATTGGAAATTGAAACGTCAATAAACGTATTTTTATCTTTAATTGTGGCTTATTCCCAGTTTAATAGTAATTAATTTACAATGCCACAAGAAAATAGCTTCAGAACAATATTAAGAAATTTCTAGTCTTCAAAAGTTGTTGTCTTAAAATTTAATTTAAATGTATAGTGTTTTTTACTTGTTTTATTCTGTCTAGGTTTAGTTTTTAATATAGTTATTAGTTTTTAGCAATAGTAAGCACTCTTTTAATGTAATAACAATGATTTTGAGTTTTAAAGAAGGTTAAAAGAAAATAAATAAAAAAAAATCTGCCTACTCCTCTAACTTGTGACATACCAGTATCAGAAACACAAAAACTGTCAAACAGTACTGAGGTCTCAATCTGCCTACTTCTCACATGACACTATGTGAAGAGTAAGCAGAAAACAATAATTGACTATTTTAATTAAAATCTTAATTTACAATAATTTATAATTTATTACTTTTGTAATATACAAATAGTTTGACAATTTTGATGCATCTTATTTCTCATGAACTCTTTCCATCTACTGTAGCATGAGGCAAATATTTGCCAACAGAAAACCACATAACAATAATTAAGAGGCAACATTGTCTATTTTCTACAACTCATCAAAAACGAAAGTCAAATATTTGGTCTGCAATTAAACATATCAAAGACAAACATCATGATAGTGGATAGACTACACAACAATCATCCACATATAACCACAATTGACCGGTTCGAGGTTGTGAGCTCATACTTATATCTGGGATCATTAATCACAAACACAGGGTCATTACAAGAAGAGATTAAACATAGATGTGATCTAGCAAAAGTTGCCACAGCAAAAATGACCAAAATATGGAAGGACTGTCAAATTTCAAGAGCGATAAAGATGAGGTTGATCAACTGCTTAATATTCCCAATACTGACCTACGGATGTGAATCTTGGACTCTGAGACAATCGGAGAGAAGAAAGATAGACGCCACTGAAATGTTCTGTTGGAGACGAATGTTACGAATTCCTTGGACCGACCGTAGAACAATTTTAAGAGATCTAAAAGTTAGCCAACGACTCTCTAGTAAAGTCCATCTCCAACAATTAAAATATTTTGGGCATGTTATGAGAGCAAACACAGAAAACATGGAAAGACTCATAATACAAGGAAAGGTAGAAGGCCGAAGATCACGAGGAAGATCCCCAACAAGATGGATAGATCAAATTACAGGAATATGCCAAAGACCTATGCATGAATTAAAAGAAATGACCAGAGACAGAGATCTCTGGAGACAGACAATACACGACATCATGTCGACCACTACACTCCCCCTGGGGGGTCAGGATTGAAGAGAGAGATTGTCTATTTTCAATTGTGATGTAATTAAATCTAAGTTACATACCTTTTGTAATAAATCTTGATGATCAGCATAGCTAGGATTATATGACATACCAGGATGTGGGGGTTCAATTGCTGGAATATTAGTAGCCGATTTATTAGACCTTGTCTTTTTTACAGCTACACCTACACCTTTTAAGTTATGCTTTTTAGCGTTTTTATCGACCCAATCTTCAGTACTTGACTGCTTATCACTATCTTGCCACAAATCAGAGGAAAATTCTCCACGTTTTGGTTTATTTTTCCTCTTTAAATCATCCAACTTCCTATTTTCAGCAGCTTGAATTGTTTTACGTTTTACAATGCCTTTTACTTCATTTTGTTGTTCTTTTAATGTTACCAGCCTACTCTTTCTTTCTTCTTTAGTTCTAACACGATTTCTTCTGGATATGGGATCTGGAACATTTGTGTGTGGCTGTAATGCAGAAAAACATTTTAAAGGTTTAGCAGCTTTTAATTTTCTTCTTTCTCTAGATGATAATAATTCTGTTGAAGGCTTAGAATCAACTTTAAATAGTTCACTATCCGGAACCAACTCCAAGGAAGGCCCTAACCTTTCTTCTAATCTTTGCTCTTCTAGAAATTCTTCAACTTCATTTATATTCACATGTTTTCGCCATGAACTCTTTAGTTTCTTAGATACCTTTTTCTTTTTTATATTTGATATTGCCATTCTAATAAATTATATTATTAAATATACATCAACACAATTTTGTATTAACCTAACCTAACCCACGTGGAAATTCCTTTTCTGCTTCGTTTTTACAGTCACAGCACAGCCATAGATAAGGTCACAGCACATACTCTCATTTGCTATGTCTACAGTGACTATATACCAAATTAATTCAGTTAAACCCTTTTAATTTTTCGTTTAAAAACTTATTATCGGTGTATTTAACGTATGTATTAAAATATTTATTTACATTTTTTGGTGCAAATAATAATTAGTACCTACAAATTTTATATCAAATAAATCAGCGGAAAAGTAGTCCTGCTCACCAGTGGCGTGGGCATTTAGAACGGGGTTGTGGTTAAAAATTAATTTGATCCTATTTTTTTATCGTTAAAATCAAATAATATTAGTAGTAACATTTGTTTGCTTTTGACTACAAAGGTGACAAATTATTGAACAGTTCTCCAATAGTTCTTAATTTTACAGGATGTCTCAAAATACAGTTAATAATAATAATTGCCAAACTTCCTTATTTGTTTCTGTAGTGAAATCGACTCCGAAGTCATATTTTCCAAAAAAAGAATCAAGCTATAGTGGTGTTTGCTGCTGAACATCTTTAGTTATTTGACTATATGAAGGCAGTAGGTGACGCTATTGGCCTTAAATAATATATATATTATATATATATAGATATATCTTTGCTTCCAGAATATCTAATAATTTAATCTGTATATACCTAACAAAGTCAGACCTTATTCATAACCTGACAGTTGGGACACGATCTTGTAGAGGATGCTATCGAAAATCTTTGTTTTCAACTGGCAATCTCCAGAATCATTTTTATAAGCAGGAATATCCGACGAATATTCTAATATTTTAAGTTTTAGGCGACAGGTACATATCTTCACTTCTCAAGACAACTTTGAACTCCAAACCTCTTTAGTAATCTCATTTGATGGTAATGAAAACAGAATTTTCCTATCGACGGAGAAAATGGAACGCTTTATCTGCGAGCAGGCCGGCCACATTGCCTAAACTGTCCGAAACCTCCTCAAACTAATGCAATCTCAATTGACCAATCAACAATACTCTAAAACATCCTAAAGACAATCTAGAAAATACCGAAGACTGCAATGTGGAATCTACTCAAAACACAATGGAACTAGACCAGCCAATTGCACCTCCCACGTCTACAAATAAACGGGGATATTCTGAAGTTCAAACCAGTTCTACTGATAGTTACTCTAGAACTAGTTCTGAAATGATGCATCCCACTAAAATAAAAAACAAAAAAGAAAAAGAAGTTCTCCTTTGAAAAAAGCTCTCACTGAAACTACAAAACAATCTGTTAAATTTATACGTCCATGGTTAAGGATATGTAGCATCAATCCTCCAAAATATTTTGCAATCCTTGTAGATAGAATAGGAATTATTAAAATTCCTTTGTAAAAGGTATATATTTAGACCCAAACGGGCTAGGTTAAAAAGACAAAACGTTATCGGAAACCATATTCCATCATCAGTGTCTAATCTAAGAGTACATGAATGTAGCCACTAAATATATGGGTAAAAACCCGTTAACAAATAATTAATTACATTTAGTTTACAAATCTTCTTATAATGGTTTAGGATGTAAAGTTACCGTTGGATATAGTAACATGGCGACATATGACATATGAGTACATATGACATATGACATTGCTAGTCTTAGACAGTGTGTCTACGAAGACTGTATGGAGCAACTCATATGTCATATGTCGTCATATTACCTAATGCAACGGTAACTTTAACATCCTAAACCATTATAAGAAAATTTGTAAACTAAATGTAATTAATTAATTGTTAACGGGTTTTTACCCATATATTTAGTGGCTTACATTCATATACTCTTAGACACTGATGATGGAATATGGATTCCGAAAACGTTTTGTCTTTTTAACTTAGCCCGTTTGGTCTAAATATATACCTTTTACAAAGGAATTTTAATAAATCACTTACACAGTGGTGTATACAAACTAAAATGTGGTGACTGCCCAAAAACTTACATCGGTCAAACTAGTAGAACTTTTAACAAAACGTATAGCAGAACATAAAAGGATTTTCAATAATAGAAAAACAGATTCTACGTACGCATTTCACCTTCTAGACCATAATCATTCTTTTCATATCCAAAATAAAGGCCTTAAGCTATTCTTATTAGAATCTATGGAAATTAACAAATACAGACATAATTCTGAATGACCAAGTTGAGACAATCAGTTCTCCCATCCTCAACCTATTCAGTTAAAGACTATAAAATGTAAACACATACCAAAAATAGTTTACTTAAGAAAGGCACTCTGCCGAAACAGCTGTAGGATAAGATATTATAATAAATTTTGTGGAAGTGTTGAAAACAAAAGTTTTCAGTGTTTAATTGTTATATAAAGTGAATTTCCATCAAGTAACGGTCGAATACATAGCATGTTCTTTACTTCAGAATGTATTAGATATGTTTTATAATTGGTCGATAGACATTGGTTTCAAATTTTCACCCTCCAAATCTAGTTTTCCAATTTAGTATAAGATATAGCTGCAATTCTTCTTTCATTTACCTAAACGGAGTCCCACTCAAACTTGTTGACCAACACAACCTCCCTTTTACCCTTTCACAACTAGTAAAACCTTTGTTAGCAGATATAGACCTGACGATATCCACCCCCATCAATACCTGCAATATTCCTCCATGGACCAAAAAGCTATCTACTTTCAACACTAGCATAACTCGACGTAAAAAAGAAGAAACTCCTAACACACTTCTCAGACAATTATTTTAAGAAGCAATAAATAGCAAACAATACAACCAAACTCTTTACACCGACGCCTCAAAAAAATTGAGAAAATACTGACTGTGCTGTCTGTACCGAAAACACTACCTTAGCTGTAAACCGACTCCCAGCCACTTGTAGAATTCACACTGCAGAATTAGATGTCTTAAAAGAATTCTACCTAATAGCAAATCTCTAGCAATATGCTTTTCTTTCTTCAATTCACTCTGTTTGGGAAAGTATTTAGTATTTATTTGAAAGATTACACTATATTATTTTTCTTCTATTCAGTAAATTCTCATTGTTAAACTGGCTAACACACATGTTTTTAACTTCAAAGAAATTCACTTGTCTTTACGTTATTTGTTAACTGCCTCGAAAGCACAGAAAACGCTACAAGATATCAAATTTCTGTGAACCGTTTATTTAAATTATCGTTATTCAAAAAGGCAATACAATAGCGTTGAATTATGGGTATGCAGTTGCCTCACTAACCTACGAACCACCTAAGAAGAGTGGTCAGAGAGGCTTTTTTATACCAAGGGAACAAATATCGAAACAAAACATCGGACTGTAAACATCTCCAGTTTATCGGAGACGGGCACCGTCCTTTAGCGCCGCGGGCTTTCTACTCACCAAGGGGCTCAACCACGATCTTACTTCGCTAGCTGAATTTAATAGATCATAATCAAACGGTAAGTGATTTTTCTTTGTACAGATAACATTAATGAGTTACGCCAGGTATTTTCGTGATTTTTAAATTAATTACCAATTTATTCACAATCACAATATTGCTTTTTATTATTAATATTATTATTATTCTAATCATTTAACCAGCGACCTCAGTAAGTTTTACACAAAACACACTCATTACTAAAATATACTTATTAAATCCGATAGTCCAAAAAATTCAACATATCCGTCATCAACACCACACCGAACTTCAATAATCATTCTTTGGACCCCATCTCATGTGGGGATCAGTGGAAATGAATCCGCAGATATCACAGTAAGAAAGCCAAGTTGTTCTGGCTTACACCTAGAAGAAATTCAATTTCATTAGGATGTAACAACTATGAAAACATGGCAAACTCACTGGAATGGACAGAACTGCTTACGATCCAACCTACTATTTACTCACCTAAGATAACTAAAATGACGAGAAGGAACAAAATCATCATTCTAAGACTTCGCATACTCGCCTCAATCACGAGTTCCGAAAACCCACCTGTTTGCTAACATTGTGATTCCCATCGCCTTACAGTAGAACGCTTACTCATAGAGAGTAGTTATTATAGATTTTATACACTAGAACATAATATAAACGATAACCACAAGCAGATAATTAGTTCGCTAAATGTGTATAGTGCTATAATTGACTTTTTAAAAGATTGCAGATTATATATCATCTTATATAACAAATATTGTAAAAATGTTCCTTAAAAAACAAATATTTTAATACACTATATAGTGATTTGTGGTTTAAGAGACTGTATTTAAATACTCTAAAGTGACTTACTGTATTTAACCTTAATACAACAGACGTTTGCGTACTCGTGTCCATGGCCCTAGCTGTACAAACACGTTAATTTCAATATTAAAAAAATTAATACTATAATGCTAGAGCAGTTTTAATGACGGATTCTTAGTAATATTTTATTCAGGTGATGAAATTAAGAACGAGTTAGTTCTTTCGATTTCAAAACTTTTGTAAAAGTTAACAATGTCGCCTCTTTACCTTTAAATTTCTTAACGAAAATCACGAGAAATGATTCAACTACAAGGAGATATAGGGAGTGGGGGTGGTTAGTAGGTAAGTACACGCTAAATTCAGATTGTTAAGGATTGGGAACCATTAAATAAATATAAACCATAAAACACCAGTAGAGAAATAGTTTATTAGCAGATATGTACAATAGAAATATCATGATATCAAAATGGAAAAATATTACATTCATATTATATACGAAGGTATATTAATTCAAAAATTAAGTACATTTGATTTGTATTGGATTAAATTAGAATTTTTTCTTACTGTTTAGGTAAACAATACGGCTAATATCTACGCAGCAAGTAAATGATATGAAGTTTGCTTTGTTCTTTTCCTGATGTACAATTTGCGCCACGATGATATTAAACCAGAGAGGTAATAAATGAGTAGACAAAAAGCTGTTGCAAACAAACAAAAGGCGATTTACACTATTCTCTAATTAATCAACAGTCTACATTAAATGACGCTGTAAGGATTCTTCACCAGGGTAAGCTAG